GGACAATGACCAAGGAGGATAGAAGGAGAATTGATGCCTTTGAGCTGTGGTGCTGGAGAAGAGTATTGAGAATACCATGGACTGCTAGGGAAACAAACAGATTTGTCCTGGAAAGGCTTAAACCGGGTGGCTCCTTGGAGGCAAGGATTCTGAGGCTCTTTCTAACATACTTTGGGCATGTTGTGAGGAGAGACCGGTCCTTAGAGAGGGATATCATGCTTGGGAGGGTGGAGGGACAGCGCAGGAGAGGAAGGCCTTCTATGAGGTGAATTGATTCAGTGACTGGGATAATTGGGACGGGAGTGTCAGAGACGGTGCAATTGGCACAGGATAGAGCGGAGTTTAGGGCTGTTGTACATAGGGTCGCTATGAGTCGCAGGCGACTTGACGGCACATAACAACAACAACAATAGGATGAATCTATTTGTTCTCTTGGCAGTCAGTGTTATATTCATTAATCTTTTCCAATACCACAGCTCAAAGGCATATATTCTCTTTTCTATCATCCCTACTCATTGTCCAGCTTTCTGAGGCATACCATTTGGCGATATATAGATTTTATAATTTATCATATAAATTTTAACAAACAAGAACTTTTAAAAACTATGAACGTGCCCACGAAACTAACTAGCTCTTACTATTTTCTGGGTTGTATTTTACCACGTGTGTTTTTCTAAATAATCTACATAATATGTGGCAATTAAACACATTCAATACTTTTATTCCAAAAAGAGGAAAATTTATTTCTTCATTAAAATTGTCTTTTTACTCCATCATTTCAAGGAGTCAAGACAAAATAGTACCGTGGAAGAAGATTCTGAAGGTGACAATGATTCTGAAGAATTTTATTATGGAGGACAGGTAAGCAAAACTGACCTTCTGACGCTATAAGTATAAGGTTAGCATTATATCCTAGGAAAGTTTGTAGCTTAGAGTTAGAGAGCTTCGTCTTGGTGCTTCGTCTGACATACTTTGGACATGTTGCAAGGAGAGATAGATCTCTGGAGAGGGACATAATGCTGGGCAGAGTGGAGGTACGGCTCAGGAGGGGAAGACCCTCTGTGAGGTGGATTGATTCAGTGACTGGGGTAATCGGGATAGGTGTGTCAGAGGCAATGAGATTGGCACAGGATAGAGCAGAGTTTAGGGCTGTTGTACATAGGGTCGCTATGAGTCGCAAACGACTCGACGGCACATAACAACAACAACAACAACAACAACAACATATTGTTCATGATTCTGTTACTATTTGTTGTTGTTTTTGAGTACTGTTGAGTTGGAACTGACCCATAGCAGACCCATCAGCCAGTTTTCAGAGGCCGTACATCATACAGGAGGAGCTTACCCATCTTTCTCCAATAGAGCAGCTGGTGGATTCAAACCATCTACATCTAGATTGGCAGCACAATTCCTTATCACTAAATCACAAGATCTGCCTGTTCGTCTTTAGGAAATACATAGAATTTACCTATTTCTTGTTTTCTACATATTTTTACAAATCATGATTATCTTTGCAATATTTTTGTTAATGATGTTGATAGTACTCATTCATTATATTGATGTTGAGTTAATTTTGCAGATTTTGCAGACAACAAAATGTGTTATGCTTTTAACTTTTAGACTGTTATGCTTGTAGTTTTGGTATTTCTTAATTAGATTGTAATCAGTATTTTGAAATGTGACATGCCTAATTAAAGCATAAAAGATAATTAAAAATTATTAAAAATTGTACTGTGTATCAGATCCTTGAGGATCCTTGTTATTATCTTGTTTTTGGTGTCCCCTATCCTTTATATTAAAGTCAAATATTTATTGAAAAATTACGTTATGATGTAATATCACAAACTGAATATATGAAAATAGCATTTCAGTACATATATCTAGAAAAATATCCATCAGTATTTTCAGGATAGAGTTAAAATTTAGAATTGCGTATTAAATTGTAGTGTATGGATTGATAGTATGTCTTGTTCTATTTCTGTAACCCTCTTGATGAATTATGCTTTGTCAGGTCAACTCATTGACTTTCCAAGGCTCTAAATGTCAATAGGAGGAAATTGTTCATCTTTATTCTTTGCAGCAGCTGGTAGATTTGAACTCCAGACAGATTCAAATTACCATCCTTGTAGTTAGCAACCAGATATGTCTGCCTGGGCTCCTTAGTTTAGATAGTATGTTGTTATTGTATAATTTGAAGCTAATCCCTTAAAAACAAAAAAAATGCAAACTCATTGCTAGTGAGTCAGAACATACTCATTGCTCAATCTCCAGTGACTTTTTAGAGACCATAAAATCTCATGGAGGAGATTGCCTGTCTCCCTCCAGCAGAGTAGCTGGTAGATTCAAATCATGTACTTTTGGATCGTCAATGAGACCAATTAACTGCCTAACACTTAACTTACTGGGTTACCAGGACCTCTAATGATTTAAAGGTAATGGAGGTAAATAAAGAAATAAAACAAGGTTTTATTCTTAAAGAATGCCACTTTATAATGAGTTATTTTCCTAACAAAAATAATTCTTTCAACAACGTAGTGGTAACATTTTTGCAAAAGAATTATTCTGATTTTGCTTCCTGAGAGAATCCATAATTACACATCTAATTTTGTCCCGTAGCTAATTCTTATGGAAAATAATTTAATCTGGTTAATCAGTCTAGAAATCTCAATTTTCTGCCACCTTATTTTTTTGTATGATTACTTTCTTTGTACTTGAATATCTTAATTTTACATTTTAACATGAATGATTCTCTGTATCTAAATTTAAAAGCTAGTAAAGATCCTGCTGAGTTGTCTTTCTTTTCAGTATGAATCTGACAGAGAAATTGTCAGTAGTAGAGCCCACAGGGTGTTCTATCCAGGAGGGTGTTTGTGTTTTGACTTTTTAAAAGTGATTTCTAAATCACCCCTTTTATCAGGTGAACTATGATGGAGAACTGCACAAACACCCACAGCTGGAAGCTGATTTGTCCGCGGTGAGAGAGCTCTACGGGCCACATGCAGTGTCTCTCAGGTAAATAAATACCTGTGGTGGATAAAAATTAAAATTATTTGGTAAGCAGTATTCTTAGCCTTATTCATATCTGAAAATGCTTAAGGGAGTTTCTGTTCGGTTTCTCCTTCTAAACATTAGCTTATTAGATATATTTTTACATTGATTGCATTATGGACTTTAATTCTTTTGGACAGTTAGTTTCATGAAATATTGGTCTCAAAGAGTGTCATTGTTTATTTCTGGTAATAGATGTAACCTGCTGTTACCATTAATTAAGGATAATAAAAGTAAGTAGTGTAAAACAGCTGATACACAAATCACAGTGATGTGTGATCTGGACCTAAAAAACAAAACAAAAACAAAAAACCCAAAAAAATTAAACACACAAACCACCAAACAACCCAGAAAAATCATAATTTTGCATACTATTTGTTGGAATAATAATGTATTATTATTTCTGAAGTTGCTCTCGACTCGGATCTGACTCCTAATGATGCTTTGTAGTAGAAGAGAACACTGCCTGTTCCTGACCATCCTTAACCATTGCTGTGCTTTTTTAGCCTGTTGTTGTAGCCATTGTGTTAGTCAGTATCATTGAGGGTCTCCTTTTTTTTCTAGTGACACTTCCCCTTACCAAGCATGATATCTTTTCCTAGAAACTTACTGTATTATGTGAGGAGAAACTTCAAGTACTTTTTAAAATTAATTTCAGTCCTTCCTAATATTATGCCTATTTACTTACCTTGTTTCTCCCTCTTTTATGTAAGGAAATAAACTTTTGCTTCCCTCATTTTAGTTTCTAGAAGTCATATATCCTTATTTAGTATTACTTTTTAAATTCTTTAGATGGTTCTCTTTTCTACAGGGTAATCTCCAGGTGAGCATGGAATTCCAGAACTCCTCTCATAGTCTGCACCTAGTCTTGGTTCTACCCAAACTCATATTGTCCCAGTTCCTTAAATTATTTTTCACTTTAAACTTTTGCATAAATGGTTTTAGTTTTGATTTGTTTTATTAAAGAGTGCTTATTTCATTCAAGACTCATTCCAAGGATCAGTTTTTATCTGGGTCTTTGAAACCGACCTACGGGTTCATACGTGTTCTAGAGAGGGATCAGTGCGGATTGAGAGAGGGACAGGGACACGGGAGATGGAGGCAAGTCAGAGTTCTCCGATCAAGCCTCAAAGCTTATTCAAGGAATTCTGCAATAAATAGGCTGCTGAGGGAACCCAGCTCTAGGCTATCAGTTTACAATAGAGAGGGAGGGGCATGCCCCAAGGTGTTGATTTACAGGTACTGATTTAAAGAGGTAAGCGTAATTCCAGAGATGGACGGGTGGCGGCTGCATGTCAAAAATGATATCTGTGGTAAAGCTAAGATCTACTCAGGATGGCTTCCTACAGGTCTTCAGTGAAACTCCAGTGCAGATTAGTTATACTATTCTGTGACTGTCCTCAAATTTGACTCTTGCTTGTTTCTTACATTTGTGTCTTGCTTTGCTTCTCTTCTTCTAGGTTGTGGATTCTGGAAGTAATCATGTAATAGTTTCGATGGTTTATTTAATGTTTTAGTTTTGCGTTTAATCATTCCTGGGAACTCTGGGGTATAGTCTGTAGGAAGTTTGGCTGCTAATCCAACTACTACACCTCTCTGCTGATTTTAATTCACCAATGACTCTCTGCGAGAAAAATATTTCTGTGTTATATGTGGTCTCCAAAAACCCACTGGTGGGTCAGCTATATGTTGGTTCCAACTCCATAGCAATGCATAGCACTTACTGTATTCTTGTACTTTGCATAGTATGTGACATACATTAAACAGAAATTATGGGTTCTTGGTTATTCTCAATGTCAACACCCATGAGAGATGTTGACTTTAGCTCATTATAATCGTTTTATTGGGCATCCAGATCTTGAGAGGGAAGCACACAAGGGAAGCTCACAGAGGGAAGCATGCTTTTAATTCAGAAGTGCAGCACAGTTATAATTTATAATTTCCAAATGATTAATTTTCATCGTATAAATAGAAGCTCACTGTTCTGTATCACATAAGGTAGATCAGGTTGTATGCACCAGACCTCTCTTTCCCAATCATGTGAGTGGCAGGTTATACTAGAGTAAAAGTGATAAAATATTTGAAAAAGCAAATCTTTGCAGTATTTTAACAAATCAACTGTGATCAGATTGCCTAAACTTTCTCACAAGGAGTGGCTGAAAGGATCACACTGTTATTCTTAAAAAGATCAGCACTCCTACTGCACCACCAACATCCTTGATTTCAGGATAGAGAATTTGGAAATTCAGTAGATGTTCTAGGATGAGTAAATGAAAAAGAAAATGGCAGTTATCAATAGATTGCCCAAAATAGTTATTATTTTTTAAAACTTAGCTGTCACTTTAATTGAATGCATATTATTTTATTTTTAAGTTGAGTTGAAACTAACTGTAACTGACCCTTCAGTGGGTTTTTGGAGACTGAATTGGAATATGTTACCAGAGATTCCTTATTTTTAAGTTGTTTTGTTGTTGTTGTTGTTGTTATGTGCCGTCGAGTTGTTTGCGACTCATAGCGACCCCAACAGCCCTAAACCGTGCTCTATCCTGTGCCAATCTCATTGCCTCTGACACACCCATCCCGATTACCCCAGTCACTGAATCAATCCACCTCATAGAG